CCCCAAAACCCCAAAACCCCTAAAGCTCATTTCTTTAATTGAATTAAAATTTTACGGTATATTGATTTTGAATTTAAAAATGTAAAGATCATAAGCTATTTAACCTCAACAAGAAAACTATAAGAAGATCAAACTTCTAGGCGAGGGCTCTTTTGGGAAAGCATTTTTAGTCTAGTGCAGTTCTGATTAATCTCTAGCAGTCATTAAGTAATTAGATGTTTCCAAGATTAGCGAGAATGAGGCAAACGACACAATAAGGGAGTCTAAAATTTTAGAAATATTGAAGCATCCAAACATTATCAAATTTAAAGAGGTTTTCAAGACCAAAGCAGGAAAGCTTTTCATTGTAATGGATTATGCAGATGGTGGGGATCTCTGGCAAAGGATTGAAAAATAGAACAACAAGTATTTTGAGGAGGAGAAAATTCTGGATTGGTTCACTTAAATCTGTTTGGCTTTGAAGCATTGCCATGATAGAAAAATTCTTCATAGAGATATAAAGTGCTAGAACATTTTCTTGACCTCAAGAGATCAAGTAAAATTAGGAGACTTCGGGATAGCTAGAGTATTGAAATAAACTCTTGACGTGGCTAAATCAATGGTTGGAACTCCTTATTACTTGTCCCCAGAAATAATAGAAAATAAACCCTATTCATTCAAGAGTGACATTTGGTCACTGGGTATTCTACTTTATGAAATGTGCGCCCTTAAGCCACCATTTATGAGTCAAGGCATCCATCTATTAGCTTTGAAGATTATTAAAGGTGAATATTAAAGGCTACCAGAAGGACAATACTCATAAGATCTCAATAATTTGATTACAAGCTTACTACAGCTAGATCCTAATAGAAGGCCAGACATAAAACAAATACTAAAAATGCCTATGATTCAATTCAGGATTAAAAAGTTTCTTACAGATGAGGAGTATGAGACTGAATTCGAAGATGAAATTGAATAGCCATAAACCTTTTCCAGATGCTCTAAGCTAGATGAATCTATCAGATAGATAGACTAAATAAGGTAAAAGTATACCAAGCAAAGACCAGCTTCATCAATGGCATATTCATCTAGGGAGGAAGAGAAAAGTCACTAGTAATAGAGGAGATAAGTGATATAAGTAGATTAGGTTCCCAAATACAATTGCGTATCAGATAAATTAAACCCTACAAATAACTAACTAAATCACGAGAATCTGGAGAACCTTTAGAATGAGACTAAATATAAAGAAGAAAGACTAAAAAACTTGATGGCAGATATAAAGATGAAAAAGGATCATCTTAAATAGGCAAATAATGAAAGTTACATCAACAGTGTACACTGCAGCAACCTTATTAAGAATAATTCGAACTCAAAAATTTCAATTAACTCCTCTAATAGAAGCGGCTAGAGTAATAGAAATATAAGTCCCTAGTTTTCTAGAGATTGTAAATATAATAAGCCTACGAGCAGCCGAATGATGGCAGAAAATTTTGACATCAATCAGTTAATAGGAAATGTAGCAGATCAAATCAACAATATTTGTAAGAAGCATCAAAGCACAGGAAGTGATTAAGAAAGCAATACTAAGCCTAGAGTCTCTTCAAGTAAAGACTAAGATGATTCACCTTAGTAAGAATAAATGCAATCCTCGGGGGAAAATATGATAGAGCAAATTAAAGTAATACCAGCTGATCCTAAAATAGAGTTCTTCAAAGAAATAATAATAGCTAACTATGGAATCAATGAGTTTTAGGAGGGAACTTTGATTATAAATGACATTTGCAAGTCTAAGGATATTTATCTAGAAGAGACATATGAAGAGATATAAGCAAGGCTTTAGGAAAAGATATTTATCAATGACTCAGTAAGGTGCTAAGGCTTTATAGCTGAATACAGTGCGTTGCTTTTGCTTTAATAAAAATGATTATTTGATTAAAAGATATAATTTCTAAACTGATGAAATTACTTATAAATATGGGGTTTTGGGGTTTTGGGG